GATGACAAAGTCGCTATTTCTCCCTTTCCCATGGAGTTTTTGTCATAATTTCTAGAAAACGTTTTGAAATTTTTTTAAAAAAATTGTATTTTACAATTATTTTATAGAACTGTATTATTTTTATACCGCATTTATTGAAATTTTAAATAAAATATTCGTGCATATTAATATATTTGAAAAAAAAATGTAAACTGAAAGAGTAAAACGTACTTTTTCTGTAGATGCTTCGAGTACGAATTTATAACTCAATCACTCGCGGGGTGTTCTCAGCACCCCAAATAAACCTTTGAAGGGTCGTTACATTCAATCGTCCTAGAGAGATTGATTACATCATGTCTGAGGTTCAATGACCTAAAATGGGCAGCTACAAAAAAAAATCGTGGCTCTCCGCATTATTTTTAGAATTGTAGGAGGCTTTTCTTGTTGCTGGGGTGTACAGAACACCCCGCGCGAGTGATCGCGGGTTAAAATCTTCTCTCTTATAATGGACATCTTTGCTTCAACTAGCTTTGTTAGGCTTGACCCACTCACTCTCCTAATGAAGTCAAGGCTTCTTCAACCATTTCTATACCTTAAATAATAATTGTAAATTTAATTACATTAATGTAATTATTTTGTGTTTTTAATCCATTTTAGTTATATTTTTAATCTTAAGGAATATTGTCATTTTCAACCGAACAGATTCAGAGGGGTGATAGTGGGTAGCATGGGAAGGGAAAATCATCGTAGAACATGAGATTTATTTCAAGATTTATTTTATTTATCAAGATTTTTTTTATTTTATTTATCAAGATTATTTTTATTATCAAGATTTATTTATGAGATTTATTTTTTTAAACCATTTATTTCAAGTAATTTTAAAAAAAGGTTTATGAAGAGTTATGAAGAGTGGAATGAAAAAAGGCAATAAAAGGTAAGGTATTGTAATGACTTCATTTAGCTCTTGGTTAAATATTTATTTCAACATGAAATTCATCAAAATAATAAATAAAAGGGTATATTCTAATTACAGTTCAATATCAATTTAGAGTCTCTTTCGCACTCTCTTCCGTTTCTGGATTTTCCAAGCCAGGAGACCGCTGTACTTTCCGGGCTCGTCAGTAATCACTTCGAGTCTCTTCCGTACTCTCTCCCGTTTCCTCGATCTTTCAAGCCAGGAGACCGCTGTACTTCGCGGGCTCGTTATCGCTCTTCCTATCGCTCAAGGGACGGCCGAACCGCTCCCTTCAAAGATCCAGTCTTTTTTCTCTTCTCGTCCGGACCCTCTCGCCCTTTTTATATCATCTCTTTCTCCTAGTCCGCCACCGATCATCTCTTTGTCGGCCTCAGTCCCTCTGGGTCTGCTGCCGCCTTCCGGTCTCGGCCCCCTTGATGTCATACATCTCTGCCGCTCCAAATTCGGTCCTGTTTCCGCTGGTCTCAAAGAGACGCCAAGGCTGGGTGTACAGTTGTACGTTCTCCGACGCGGTGGCGTCACCGAGTTCTGGGAAAATGAACACACAATAATAAGGCGCCTCTTTTTGACAGTCCGGTCAGCTGGGCAAAAAAGGTGCCGAAACTCGACCACCCAGCTACGAAATTCCTTCCAAGCAATTAGGGAAATTCCCGGAATTTTCGCAGCTTCTGTCGGCAAGGGATCTGTTGGAAAATAGGGGAAAGAGATATGCTTCGTCACAGTATACATTTATTAGATACAAAGTGTATCAACAATCCAAATAATGTGTCATAGATAGACTTCAGAAATACAATGAGAAGTGATTGTCACTAGAATTGTTCGAAGTTGTGCCCGCGTAGTTTATAAAATAGCCGACGCCGACAGACGAAAGGTTATCGGACGCGTTCGTATGCTGGTCAACGACGATCCAGCTAACCGCTGCAGTATTCTTTCTTCCAGTTCAGGTGTGTACACCCTGTATTAGACATCTGTTTTTTAAGGGTGACAATATGGGTGGGGCGAGGGTCATGAGTTAAGAATGCATAGGATATCACCATAAAATTAAAATGAACTGTATCTGTTGGAAAAAGAAACGACTGTATAATACATCTATTACACATCACGACAATATTTTCAATGATAAGCCCTCGATAGCTGTGCAAAATTGTATATTTTAACATGATGATGCTCATGTAATTTCAAAC